ATATGGCATAATTTCATTCTTATTTATGGCTGAAGAAGTATCAGTTGAGTATAACACATTTTATTACTCTGTTGTTGGACAGAGGTCGGTTCTTTATTTAGCTATTATGAATACTGTCCCAATAAACTTTGATGTGACAGTATCTCTGTGATGCAGACTTGGAGCCCTGTGGGTCAATACCCAGGAGTGACAGTTAGATTGTATTGTAGATCTAATTTTAGCTTTTTGTGGAACCTCCATACTGACTTCCATAATGGCTACACTAGTTTACATTGCCCCCCACTGCCTAGCACCCCTTCAGCATGCCCATTACTGGCATATAGAAAGGCTACTGATTTTGTATCCTGCCACTTTGCTGAACATTTTGATTATTCCTAGAAGTTTTCTGGTGGAATTGTTGGAATCCTTTACACATAATATCATGTCATCTGCAAAAAAGGATAATTTGACTTATTTTCTAATTAGTACCCTATTAATTTCCTTCTATTATTGCTCTTGCTAGGGCTTCAGACACTATATTGAAAATCAGTAGAGCTCATGGACAGCCCTGTCTCGTTCCTGGTTTTAATGAGATTACCTCAAGAATTTCTCCATGTAGAGTGATGTTGGCTGTAAGTTTTCATATGTAGCCTTTATTATATTGAGGGATGGTCCCTCTAGTCCTATTCTCTCTAGGACTTTTATCATGATGTCATGTTGGATTTTTGTCAAGGGCCTTTTCTCCATCTATTGAATGATTGTGTGATTTTATTACATTTACTGATTTGCATATGTTGAACTATCCCTGCATCTCTGGAATAAAGCCAACTTGATCATGGTGATCTTTTTGATATAGGGTTGTATTCAGTTTGCAAGTATTTTATTGAGAATTTTTGCATCTATGTTCGTTAGGGATATTGGCTTATCATTTCTATGTCTTTACCTGGTCTGGATATCAGAGTAATAGTGGCTTTGTAGTAGTTTGGAAGTGCTCCATCTGCAGCTTTTTTTTCTTCTTTTTTTAATGTATTGGTTGTAGCTCTTCTTTAAAGGGCTGGTAGAATTCTGCTTTGAATTCATTTGAAACTGGGCTTTTTTTAGCTAGAAACTTTTTAATATTATTTATATTATTTTATTTTATGTGTATGATTGTATTGCCTGCATGCAGGCAAGCGCACCCATGTAATGCAATACCTATGAAGGTCAGAGAGGATCCTGGATTCCCCTGGAACTGGAGTTACTGACGTTGTCAGCCGCCATGTGGGTGCTGGAATAGAACCCAGGTCCTCTGCAAGAGCACTCCATGCTCTTAACTGCTGAGCCATCTCTCCAGCCCCAAGTTGAAAAACTTTTTATTATTTTTCAATCTCCTTTTTTTGTTATGGGTCTAAGTTCTTGGTTTAATTTGATAGTCTTATTGTTGTGACATATCTCACTGTATAGGCCCTGCTGGCCTGGCACTCATTATGTAGACCAGACTGGCCTTGAACTCACAAGATCTGACTGCCTGTCTCCCAAACTTGGTTGCACCCACTTGTCTAGGATCACAATTAAGCTTGTAGACTGTTACTCTCAGCACGAAAGGAGTCAGTCATACCTCCCAACCAACCAGCTGGCTCTAGTTGTACCATGGGGAGGGGCTAAGGGTATATAAACTGAGGGAAGGTGCTACTTCCAATTTGAGCAGGTCTGGGGAAGTCATAATCCATGCCTGTTGGAGACTTTCCAGTGCAGCCTTAGGAGGGGAATACCCACACTCCTGTAAGTAAACCTTCACCCAGTGCTCTGTAAGTAAGTCCAATAAACTCACTGGTTTTCCAGACTGCAGTTTAGCAAAACTGGGCCTCAATTTGTCATAAGGACCAAGGGAGGAAGGGGCCAGATGTCATTTTCACCTCCCACAAAGAATTTTAGCTACAGCTAGGTCTTAAGGTACTGGAAAAATAGGAGCACTATAGCTTTTCTCTTTGATATACATGGTATATTGATGAATAAAGAAAAACTCAAGAAATAAAGGAGTGGCAGTTCATGCCTACAATCCCAGCATTTAGGAGGCTGAGGAATTAGGACAGAGTTTTGGGCTATCCAGGGCTATGCAGTAAACCCATCTCAAATTAATAAAATAGATAATAAATAAATGGAAATCTTTTTTTTTTCACAAGACTGTCAATGACTGTTTATTGGGCATCACAATACAACTGAGATTGTACAAAATGAAGTGAACAGCCTTGCACAAATGGCATACATTTCACGGTCAACTGTGAAAGTTAGGAAAATTAACAAGTTCTGTTAGCACCTTTCATAAATTGGTTTCTAAAGGATATTGTTATTAATTACTACACAAAAAGGTTAAAAATATATGATGATTAGAAGGAAAAATGAAAAACCTATTTATTAATGAATGATACATATAAGAATTTAAAATAATGAGTTTACTTTCTATTTTTAAGTTTATTTACTAATCTGCAGAATCTGGAACTTGAGTTTTCGAAGTTAATAACTTCCTAAGGTTACTGGGAAGCAAAGTAATTATGTAATTCTTCACATAAAAGTCTACTTACATACTCTTACTCAATGAACCCCCAAAATTCTATTTCCAGAGTCAAAGGTTTTATTGCCTATTAAAATAAGTATCAAATGATCATGTCAGGAATTCCAGCCAAGCATAGTGAAATTACACTGCTGTCATTAACAGCTAAGGTAATCAATAGTATGCTGATTTTAATAAAAACCAGAAGGAAAAGACTGACATACAGGAAAAAAAAGAAACCTAGGTAGAGATGAAAATTTGATGAACATTTGGAATGTTTACATTGCTTCCACAGGGGACTGGATTAAACACCAGCAGAGAACCTTGATTTATTCAAGTTGAGGTTACCTCTTACCCAATGTCAAAGTGAAATGAAACTTGGCAGATTCTACATGACTGTTTGACTTCACTTAATGAGTTTACCTACAATTAGGAATTGATGATTATGACAAAAACAGTCTGTAAACTGTAAATGCACTGAGAAGGACAATCTCATGACTCAAGAGACAGCAGGCCTTAGAAGCCTTTGGAAGGAGATCAGACAGATGCACTGGTAAACCATGCTGGAGAGCCCATCTTCAGATCTCTTCGGCATGTCCTGGAGCTGGATGTGTGCTCACCAGCCTATACAAGGGTCTAGACAATCCTACAAGTGACTTTCCAATTGACCTTTGGTAACGTCAATCAAGGTTGTGAATATAGTCAGATTGTTAAGGACAGGTTTTGTTGACAGGACATCATACATTGTTGCAAATGAGAGAGTCTCCTGTTTTGTGCAGTTAAGACACCTTTGCAGGTCTTCTGCGATCATTGATAAACAAGGTGTTTTTCCATTGTCAAAATTGGTTTGCACCACATACCATCTGTCGTGTTTAGGATCTAGTTCATATACATCCAAAGACCCTTTTCTTTCTCTTGTAATCACACAATCTTCCTGTGATGGTTTGATGAAAATGTCCCCCATAGGCTTCGAGTATTTGGACATTTTGTCCCCACATGGTGGTGCTGTTTGGGGAGGTTTTAGAAGGTGTGGCTATCCCGGAGGAAGCACGTCACTGGGGATGGGCTTAGAGAGTTCTTAAGTTCTTAAGTTCTCCAGTTGCTCTCTTGCTTCCTGTGCCTGTGTGATGATGTGAGAGCTTAGCTTCTGCTGCTCCTGCTCCAGCCACCTCCAGCCACCATGCCCCCCTGCCATAACAGACTGTAATTCCCCTGGAACTGTAAGCTCAAATAAACTCTTCCTTCTATAAATTGCTTGGGTCAGTGTTTCTATCACAGCAACAGAAAAATGACTAATACATTTTGCCATACTGCTTGCCTCTCAGGATAAAATATGCTGGAGCCATTATCTTGGTCTTTGTCAACATATTCTTGGCTTCTTCATAACTTGTGTTATTTTTCAGAACTGATCTAGTGATAAATCCTATCCATTTGACATCTTTCTTTCCCAAAATCCATTCTAGGACACCCAGAAAACCATTTATACTGAAATGTTCATTTAGTGTGAGAATAAATAGTCCTGGTTTGAATCCTGTTAACACGCCCACATATCCAGGAAAGCTTGTAGCCTTGAAAACAGTCTCATTGTTTCTTTGAAAGTCCAAATTCACTGTTAAAGGCTTTAGTTCTTCTGTTACAACCCAGGTGTTGTTATTTATATTACACCTAAGAAATATTCCAAAATCCATGTTTCTTCCATGTAGTAGATGACCTTCTTTCTCTTCGGTTATTATTGATATACACATGGTAAACAATTCATAAAAAATGTTGAATGAAATAATCTCTCCAACTTCTGATCCACAATCTGCATTATTTTTCCACTTGGCACAAATGCATTTATTTACTAAATTCTTCAGGGAATTCACTAAAATCTTTACCACTGGTGCCTTGTGAACCATTAATTCATAACATCTTTTGTAGGGTGGTAAATCAAGATATATGGTGTGCCATGGAACTGGTCCTCTATAGGTTGGTCCAGAAGGAGGATAAGTTGATTTTCTGCAATCTTCAGTCCACCACCAGTGGCACATGCTGTGCCACAGTGCAGGTGACAGCCACAGCCAGGACCAACATGAGGCCACTTGGGCCCAGCATCTTCCCAGCAGTCGCGCCACTCCAAGGAACTCCCATAGGACCAATAAATAGAAATCTTAAGAAATGGCATGCTTTCCTTCTTACCTCTGCCATTTTCTACCCAATACCCTCTACCATCCAACCCTATCTGAGTCCCTGGTACACTAATACCCAACTGTGATTGTATATTATACTTTATCTATGAAGCAGGTATCATTTTTTTCATAGTGAGTGCGATGCATAAAAGGGATCTTCTGATAATGGACTAGGAATATAATAAGCATCTCATGTGTTCATAAGAAATGGAAAAACTAATAAGGGACAATTTTATTTCTTATAGACCAAATAGATTTTTTAAAAAAATAGAAACATTGGTATGCAGTTTCTCATAAATTTATTTCAACAGCAAAAAGGTCAGTTAAGATTACAAAATCAATCTTTTCAACATGAGTACTCGCTCCACATCACAAACACAGAGGCATGAAGAGGCTGAAAAAGGAGTGTTTCACTGCCTCGCAGTGTTATGTTCAACTGCAATCAGTATCTGATCTTACAGAAGAACAGGGCACTTTTTAAGAAGGCACAGCTTTTTTTGAATATTCCATATATTTTCATTATATGAACAAGGAAGAAAAACAATTAAGCAACAACAGTTCATTTTACTATTATATAGAATCCTAATTTATCAGCCAATGCTATCTTAAAATTCTACTTCAGAAGTCTTCATATTGAAGGAAAAAGATCACATGCAACACTTACAACCCTGATGGTGTACTGAAACCGAGCTCGATCTACCTGACTCCGGGGATTTATATTCATTAGAGCCTGAGTCCCTAACAGGAATAAAAATGTGCCCGAGGCAGCAGCTCCACTTCCTTCACATTCAAGACAGATGGGAACCCAAAGTGATAAGTGCATAGTTCAAGCATATATTCTGAGACTGTTTAAAGCCACAATAAATTATGAAAGGCAAATTCACAAATACTCTTTGAGAGTGAATATAATCTTTAAACCTCCCCTTAAAATCCTGAGGTGCTAGACCCTGATATGCATCAGAAACTCACTGCAGAACTGCTCCCCCAAGTCCATCAAGACATGAGAGCTGGTATTCATGAAGCAGGTGAGGGAAGTCTCAGTGGCTCTCCAGGTGACCGCATCTGTATCAGGCTGGTCTAGGGACCCAGCCAACTGCACTATCATATATCAAAGTCCTTCAGCGCTCCCCAGCTGGCACCTATTTTCACTTTCACATTCAGTTTCACAGAAAGTTTCATAGCGCTTTCCATTTCATTTTTGACAATCTGAGCTACCTACAAATAAAGAAAAGAGGGAAATAAACTCACCCAATCAAAGGATTTCTCCCAGCTAACCCACTGAGAAGGTGACAAACCGCACTGGAGCTCTGCATCCACTGATGAGCAGGGGCTCAGCCAACTTAGAATGCTGAGAAGTTGCACACCCTCAGGGCAATACCCCAAATTCAACAAACATATCCACATCAGGAATTTCCTTACTTTATGAAATTAAGCACACTTAAGCAGTTTTTCTTCTTTCCATAAGGTCTCAACATTTATACAGCCACCCTGTGCTAGGAATAGTCCAAACACCTCAGGCATGGGAAAGAATCTGTCAGCCTGCCTCAGCATCTCAGGATCCTACAGAATGGACTGTGCCTTGCAAAAATACCTGAACAATGTCCTCTTCTGCCACTTCATATAAAAGCTCATCATGAAGTTGAAGGATGAAGAATCCTCCTCTGATTGGATAGAACATCCCTTGAAGTTTTCTCTTTGGCAACAATCCTACCCCACAAAAAATAGCAAAACTGAGTAGCATGTCATAAGCCGAAGGAGAGCTTTTGTTTGTTTGTTTTAGAGATTTTAAGTAACTCTAGGAAATGTTAATACATTAACATCTTGGAACTATCAGGAAAATAACTACCAGCTGCCTGCTACATACCTCACCAGCAGGAGGCTCAAAACCTCAGTAACACCCTCCCAGAAGAGGTTCAAAGGAGCCAGGAAACAATAGAAAAAGCTTTACTCTAAAACTACTCATTTCTTATAAGCATCTGGTGTTCCCTCTTTCCATGGAGTTCCTTCACACTGTGAATAACAGCACCAAGTGGCCTGGGTCCCAATTCCCACTCCCAGAGCGGAGTTGGTTCTGATCGGCAGTGTTTCATAGTGGGCCTCCCAGGTGCCTTACTGTGATTAGAAATGTCACTGAGGCAGAAGTTGTGTTTCCCCAATGGCTTTTACACGCTAGACAATTTTAAAAATTAGGTCCACATGTGGATCTCGGCACATTTGTGAATCCCTTGAATTGTAATTTAGAGTCTGCACATTATTTTGTGGCAAAAATCCAAACCTTTTAGTCAATTCTCAAAATAACCTATGGCTAGAAAATGAAGTGTCAGGCATGGTGGCGCATGCCTTTAATCCCAGCATTTGGGAAGCAGAGGCAGGTGGACCTTTGTGAGTTCGAAGCCAGCCTGGTCTACATAGTGAGTTCTAGGCCAGCTGGGGCTACAGGAAGACCCTGTCTCAAAAAGACAAAAAAAAAAAAAAAGAAAATGAAGAACCACTGCACTGGGTTTAGCACCACCTCCTAACTTGCCAGGACTAGTGGTATACTCTCCCTCATAGGTCTGCCTTTTCCTGTTTGCTCACACCTCCCAGCAGGCCTTCTGCTGCTCTATGACTTTCTTATTCATTCATCAGGCCCAGCATTAAGTTCCACCTTCTTCAACATCTGCTGCTTCCCTCATCAGATCCTTTAACTGTCATTGTCTACAGCCTGAGTTTGCTCAAGGGTGGCTCAAAAATGAAGTAGCTGAGCAGGTGTCAACTGGTTCCACACCAGGGCTGCAAAAGAGCTGTGAGCCCGAGTGCTGGCCTGGCTGAGACCTGCCTGCCTCATCACACCTACTTGCCACACACTGACTATGTGGATGCTCTAGTTTTTCTCCTTTCTGACCACTGTACCTTTGTTCCCTCCATTTCCCCTGGTCCCTGGCTTCTGATCCTGAATGCAGTGGTCCTCTGGTTCCCTATCTTCTCCTTCCTTGCTTTGATTTTGCTGACTTAAACAGCTTCTTTTAACCCAGCATGACACCATGAAGCCATCTTGTCTTACACTTACACTCAAAGGCGAGCTTCTCTACATCCTTTTGACACCACTCTGTGGAGAGGAGTTAGGTAACTATTTTATTCAGGGTTTGCATATTTCCCTCTCTTTATAGAAAGCTTTACATTTAAATCATAGGTTGATAACTCTTACTTTTTAATCTCCCATCTTCGCTGTGTAACTGGCTGTTAATGTGTACATACATACCTCTTCTGGAGGCAGCAGATTCCATCCTGAACAGCTGATAGTTATTTTTTCTGCCTAGGACCAGCAGCCTATTCCTGCCCTGAATGCCTTAAACCTCAACTTTCTTCCAGGAAACTTTAAAACAAAGCTGTGATCATGGATTGAAGTCTCACTGATAGTGGCATGATTTAAAACAAAAGTATGGACATGGGACAGAAGAGGAAAAAGGAAAATTCCATGTACTTAGAACAAATAACTTATCCAAGCAATAAAGAGAGAACCTAAGAGAAAATATTTTGAAGACAAAAACAAAAAGAGAAGGCAATATCAGCAAAAGATCACATATGAGGTCATCTGAGAGCATATCCCCAGACTTCAGAGAGCACTGAAAGCCATAAATAGAGGCATCAAGGTCTTATGTGTGGTCAGGAGCCACAAACGATCCCTACATTTTCAAAATTACCTTCATAACAGCACTGTAAGTTTGTTTTGCCTTTTTTTATTTCCTCTCATAAATTAACAGTAAAGGGACCAACTATTCTGGGCTAGGACTAAAATTCCCACATCCTTGGAAATACACCAGTGTCCTGAAAATTGAGACATTACTCTAGACTTCACAAGGGTTTTCTAAGGTCACAAGATAAGTGATATCATGACAGGCTGCAGAAGCAGAGGTAGAAAAACAGCTTTCTCAAGCCAGACATTAAAGAGACTTGTAGAAATACAAAACAGTCACTCATGACTAATTTTCATTTGTTCTGAAAAGAGGTACTTCTATAAAAACATTTATGTTAAAATATGGTAGGTTTATTGTTGGTTTTCCTTTAACATTTATTTTTAATTATCTGTATGGGGAGGGGGGTTGTATGTGAATGGAGGTGCCCAAGGGGGCCAGAGGCATTGGCTCCCCTTGGAACTAAAGTTATAAGCTGTTGTGCGCTGCCTGACTTGGGTGTTGGGAACCAAACTTGGTCCTCTGCAAGAACAGTATGTGTGCAGCTTTAACTACTGAAGCATCTATCCAGCAAACCCGCCCCCCCATTAAAGATTCATTTTATTTTTAACTATATTTTTGTCTTTAAGTGTTAAAACAAGTTTGAAAATTGTTTTAATTTCCAATATGGTAACTATAGAATATATAACCATATAAATAAAACCTTTTTGGTGGCCATAATAATTTTCAAGAATATAATGACATTATATACCAAAATATTTTAGGATTATTAGAAATAAAATACAAAATATGCCCCTCTCCTTCCCCTGACTTTCTGGTATAATCATTTTCACCATGTTAGATGGATCAGAGGACAAACCTGTTTGATTATTTTGGAGCACACTCTCCCGATGACCATGGGATTTGAAGGTAGAATGTAAAGTCTCTAATTGCTTCTGAATGTTAACTGTGGCTATTTTGACTATATCAGCAGCTGATCCTTGGACTGTTGTGTTGATGGCCTGACGCTCAGCCTACAAAAGACATCACAAGTACTCATGAGATGTATCAACATGGTTTCATACTTGCCCTGGGTGCCCACAGATCAGCATTCATATCTGTAGACATCAAGGGTGAGGCTGTATACTACAAGTAACAATATTAATGGTCCACAGCTTTACATTCCAGGTTGTCCACATGAGACTAGACTAAGCATAAGAAGGCTGGGGTGCTTTGATTTAGAAGTCTTCAACACTCAGGATCTCCAATCCACATTATACATAGAATTATCCAGTAACTCAAACTTACTTTATTCTAGAGCAGCTACAACACAGATGATAAATGTTTATTAACTTCACTCTAAAGATTTATGCCTAAAAATCCTCTTAATTCTAAACAGACATAAGTAGAATATTCTCTGTGATAAGGGTTGGACTATCCCAAGCATATTTCCTGTAACAATGGCCCCCCTGGTCGTACACAAAGTTTAGCCCCAGCAGGGAGCCCCCAAACAGCTAGGGACGAGGATGGGTCTTGCTCAATGGTAAAGTGCTTGCCTGGTACACATGAGGCCCAAAGTTCAATCCCCAGTGTTAGGGTTTGGATCTACAGCAGCCCCCTCTCCAAGAGGGCCTCATGGTTTTCCAAGTCCCTGAGAATGCAGGAACTGAGTTAATGAGCACCCTGATGCTCATTGAAGACAAGATAAGCAGACTCTCTGCACCTTTTGGTCAAAGACAGCCTGCTTCTCCTTGATGATCTTGAATGCAGAAGAGGCTCCTGCACTCTGGATCTATTTACCCCTGATAAGTTTTACAATGTATAGACTCTTTACCCCATAACCCATATCCTGGCTGACAGAAGGGGACAGAAGGGGGCAGTTTTAACAGAAGCTGTTCTGATAAGCCCTGGGCTCCCTCTCTCCCACCTAACTTTAAAAAAAAAAATCTTTTGGCCTTCTGCATCCCCAAAAGACGCCCCCCATAAAGACCACCAGCCCACAACCTATAGACTGACAACTTCCCTATCCTGAAGGGAACTATCCTATGCGCTTTTCCTCTGCTAATAAACTCTATCCTGCCAGAGTTTTGTCTGTGTCCTGGTGCTTTCTCCCAATTGGCCCAATTCATCTATCACCCAGTACAAAAGCTAATACATAATTATCACCAAAATTGTCATCAAAGCTAATACATAATTATCATACTGAAACAGACCATCTTTATTTGAAGTATTATATGACCAGATGTTTATTTTAGCCTCCTCAAAACAGTGCCAATATTTTAAAAGTCCTTAATAAAACCAACGGCTGACACTGTTTATTCAGAAAATCCAATTAATTATGCTAGTGTCCCTAAAGTTTATGTCATATTAAAAACCCCAAAGAAATTTTAACATACATGAGCTTTATGATAAGGATTAGTGTCTTTGATTCCTGGTAAATATCTACGTCTTCCCAGAATGGTCTGAACAAACCCATCTCTTTTACAATGCTTCACCGTGTCTTTCATAAAACGATTAATCCCTGCAAAGAAAATACAGAAATAATTACAACCAAAGCCGATCCTGCAGTAGTCACTGGTTTCAGCACTCATGAACACACCCAAATCCCAGCACGACTTCCTCTTTTCTCTCCCTTGTTCTGATTATTCACAAGGCCCCAGTCTTCTTTGTCACACAGGGTCATCACAGGGTCCTCTGCATTCATCTGATTTCTAACCCTGAAGGAAAGTTCTCTGTGGCCTTTTGCAGGTGTCCTGCCCATGTACTCCCTGAAAGTTGGGTTCCCAGAGCTGCTTCTCCCTCGGTCTTGGCAAGGCTGCCTTCATGCTGGTCAGATATTCATTATGGATCAGGATTTTAGACTCTGAACACACTCTCCTGAAATGTCCTTCCCTCTTTTCTTCCTTCTGGCATATTGCTTCTTAAACTTCAACTCCAAGTTCTAGCAGCTCATGCCAATCTATAAAATGCCTCAGCAAATGTACAGCCCCAAACCCAAACAGCCATATCACAAGAAAAAAGGGAGGTGGCATCTGAAAATCTCACTGACTTACCTCTTAAAACATGCTGTTATTCTAAATACACTAAAATCATCATTTTTACTTATTTTCAAAAGTATATTCCATCTTTGCAAATATTAAAGCAATTTTTACTAAATTTGAGGAAAAATATTGAAAATGCAGAAATATAGAAGGCAAAAAAGGCACCTGCAGTGTCCCGATCCTGTTAAGCATTAATTGCCGATTCAGACTCGGAATGTTCAGACCTCTGCGTCAAGATGGATACTTCAGAGGGCTTTCTGAATCCAGTCATCATCTACTGAGAACATTGCTTCTCTCCCTTAATGGCTTTTTAGAGGATTAAGTGTATTAATCACACACAATGTAAAAGGCAACTTCTAGATTACAGTCTCCCTTGGAGTTAAGAATCACTGCCCCTATGCCTCCAATTCAAGGACGGATCAACCCACAAACTAGCATTGAGACTTAATTTGGAAGATTTCTGAAAATTCAAAAAGTAGTTTTCTAATGGCCACTCTACTAAGTGTGTGGTGACAAGGAATTTTGAGTTCTAGGAGAACCTGAATTGGGTCTCTCTTGCTCACTGTATTTCTAAAAGGATTGTTTCAAACATAATGTGGCATTTACAAAATACAGTAATGATATTTTTATAATAACAAACCTGTAAAACAAGGATTCCTAGATTCATTACAGTACCTGAAAAGGAAGGCTTAGAAAAGCTCACTGAAAGACTAGGCCCAAAGCCCATTATTTTTACAGTTCCACTCTGCCCTTTCCCATGACAGTGCTTCTGATACAGTGGCCAGTAGCTTTATGAATACTATGATTTCAGTCTTAGTAAAGAAAAAAAAATCATCAGCATAGCTTTGTTCTAGTGAGCATAGTTGGCCCCTTCCTGGATCCTACCTTCCAGAACAGAGCCAGTTCCTAAGAATGCTGAACTCATCCTGCACGCCTTTCCAGAATCCTGGTTTTTGATTGGTTAATCCTCTTTAACTCTGATATTGTCATTTCCTGATATAAAACAATCCTATACTCCTTATTTCCTACAATATGATCTAAAGCAAGACCTTATGAAAATTAATACATGTTATAATAAATATTGACTAGGAAAACATGTGTTCTGCTTCTTAAAATTCAAAAAGAATGGGGCTGGAGAGATGGTTAAGAGCACTGACTGCTCTTGCAGAGAACCTGGGTTCAATTCCCAGTACCCACATGGCGACTACAAGGGGAATCTGATGCCCTCTTCTGACCTCTACGGCATTGCACGATACAGGTGCACTCACATACATGCAGACAATACACTCATACACATAAAATAAAAATAAATAAAATATATATAGTACAGTATCCAAGTGTATTCATATTCTCCACAGAGCTTTGGTTCTCTGCCCTCTAGGTTCATTGCTGGATCATAAGGACCTCCAGTCTGAATTCTTTGATCCAGGTGAGTCAATCTTGTTCTTCCTCGGTTCTTTTTTTTTTTTTTTTTTACGTGTTTGAGTGCATTGCCTACATATATGTAAGTGCACCCATGTCATGCAATGTCCACAGAGCCAGAAGAGGGTGTTGGATTCCCCTGGAAATGGAGTTATGAACAGTTAGTTGTTAGTCACCATATGGGTGCAGGGAATCAAACCTGAGTCCTCTGCAAGAATAGTCAGTGCTCTTAACTGCTGAGCCGCCTCTCCAGCCCTTCAGCCTCTGTTCCCCACCTGCAATTATTATGTTTCTAGAACAATCTTCCCATATCTCTTTATAAACAGGGACCACGCAAGCTCTGCTTCCCCATGTTGTGGGGTGCTTCACCAGAGAAGACCACTCAGATAAAGTTTTGCCGAATGAAAGTCGTTGCTGACCAGGGCTACTACACAAGGGTGTTGGAACCCAAGTCTGTAGGCCCAAGCCATCTCTAGGGTAAGCTTTTATACAGAGAAACCATAACCAGGGGTGAAAAGTTTAAGTTCCTAAGTTTACAGTTAGGGAACCCCCTTAACAATTTCTATTCTATTAAACAATTACTATTTTGCAGAAGCAAACCAAGCATAACCTACAGAACTCATAAATCTGCAGTTAGCAGGTGCTCTCCAGGACACTCTGACCTATTCCCAAGACAACTGGGGTCCAGCTGACATGTGTTCCCATACCCTGGGCCAACTGCCTAATAATTTCAGAAACTAGAGTCAGCCTAAATTTGAACATGGCATAGCTATGGACAAGAAGGTGCTCTATTACACCCATAGCTCTAACCATTCTAAGTAAAAACCACCAATGTTCCCAATTGAAAACTCATTTGAGGCTTTCAGTTGTGCCCTGGTATAGGAACGACCCTCAAGTTAAGGCTGGGTGAAAGGAAGAAGAGCCAATTGGAGCCTGGCAATATCAGAAATTTCAGAGAGTGATCAGGCCCTATTCTTTTTTCTTCAAGAGTCCATGTGAAAGGGTAAACAGTTTTGCTCAGTAATAGAGTACTTCCTTATTATGTACAGTGCACTGGGTTCCCCTACCCCTGCACACAAGAAGAATAAGAATCACTAGTACTGTCGGGTGAAAAGAAAAGAGAATGTACTTCTATAAATTCATCTCATTCCTATGCAGGGGCTTTCAAATATTCAGATTCTCAGAGCTACTTAAAATAAATCCCGAGGTATAATTTACACATAGTAAAAAACAGTTACTTCAAGTAAACAGGTTGACACTTTAACAACTGTATGAACCTTACAGTTACTACAAGATATGTAACATCCTCACCACCCTTTTAGTTAGCCCATGATCAGCCTCACTCAGGGGTCTATTTAAAGATCCTCCATCACTCACAGAATTAAATTTGTGTCTGCCTTCTTTTGCTAAGAAAAACATTTTCAGGAATCATTAATATTAGAGTATCAAATTTAATTCTTCTTTTTCATTTGCTCTTAGTTATCGGTGTGCTAAATTTTTTCAAATTTTTTGGATTTTGTATTTATTTATTTATTCATTCATTTATTGGTCTTTTTGAGAGTCTCCCTGTAGTTCCAGCTGCCTGGAACTACTCTGTAGACCAGGCTGGCCTTGAACTCACAGAGGATCCGCCTGCCTCTGCCTCCCGAGTGCTGGGATTAAAGGCATGCGCCACCACACCTGGCTGTTTTTATTTTTTATTGTCTGTCTTTTTGAGACAGGGTCTTCCTGTAGCCCCAGCAGTCCTAGAACGCAACATATAGACCAGACTAGGCTTGACCTAACAGAGATCTGCCTGCCTCTGCCTTCTGAGTGCTGGGATTAAAGGTGTACACCACCACACCCAGCTTATTTATTTTTATCTTATGTGTATGAGTGTTTTGCCTGCATGTAGTAAGTGCACCCAAGCATGCAATGCCTGTGGATGCCAGAAGAGAGTCTCAGATCCCTTGGAACTGGAGTTACAGACGGTTGTTAGCCACCATGTGGGTGCTGGGAACAGAACCCAGGTCTTCCGCAAGAGCAGCCAGTGTTGTTAATGGCTGAGCCATCTCTCCAGTCCATGCTGAATTTTTTATAATGTATTCAATTATCTTAATAAATGCCCTTTTATTTTTTCAATATATGTTTTTATTGAATTTTGTGCATTTCATACAATACACCTTAATCATATTTAGAACCCCTCCCCATCTGCACCCACCCTATAGTCCACCCACTGGATTTCATGCATTTTGTAATATATGCTAAGGCCTATCAAGTCAAGTTTGTATCCCCAGTTGTCCCTCCGTGTCAGTTCATCCACTGGAGCCTGTTTAGCATCACTCCCTTAAAAAAGATCAATTTTTTAAAAAATCTAGTCTCCTCACAGGACTAGGAGCAATGGATCTGGAACTGACCTGGAAGCCACCTGCCTGAAGACTAGTTCTCATAGTTTTGGAGAACACTATGCAAGCTGCTAAAGGAGAACACCAATCGATGGTCCAACCCCAGCTTTAAGGCCTAATTACCACAACAATGCCTGGCACAGCAAACTACAGTGGGGCAGTGGTGGCACTTTTATCTTGGGAGTAATCAACAGCCACCTTAATTGAACTTAAAGCCCACTCAGTGGGAGGAAACTCATGTGTGATACTAGCTAAATACACATGGCTGGAGAGGTCATAGATCTTAGAGAAAATCCTAAATCTGTCACATCCCTAGACAAATACAATTTCTTACTATATGCTAAATATAGATCTTTATATTCACAGACAAGTATGCCAGTCACTACTCATCAAAGAAGCTTCTTTGGCGACAGAGATTATTACAGAGTTCCACAACTGGTCACACACAGAGAATAAGTGTCTGTGAGATGCACAGCTCTAAGTGACGTGTCTACAATGGAACCTCTACACCTAAGGCTCACAGAGCATAGTGAGACAAGGTATAGAGAGAACACTAATGCATCTCTCATCTCTCATCAATGAAGCTCCTTCATGCAACAGAGGGCAATGAACACAAAAGGCCACAAATGCTCAAAGTAGAGAGAATTAGAGTCTGCAGAGTATGGGCCCTTGGACAGGACTCCTATGTTAAACTCTACCCACCCAGGGCTCAGGGACCACTGTGGAAGAGGGAGCAGAAAGACTGAAAAGGCCAGGGAGGGAGGTACATAACCATATGGAAATAATCTTACAGGCTTCTGGGACCTTGCTCATACGAACCTACAGCAACGGTGTCAGCATGCACAAGACCCATGCAAACTCAAGCAGACAAAAACCCAGCATAGAACTGGGGAAATGGGCAGCAGGCTGGCCCAGATCTTAACCAAAGAACTATTGGCAGCTGGATGCAAGAGAGCTGATCTTCTTTAGGGGAGGGACTCCAAGATAGGCTGACTAGACCTCAGTGGATGAACTTGCACTGAGGGATGTTTGAGGACACACACTTGACTCAATAGGCCTTAACAGAAAGGACAGAATACATGAAATCCAGTGTGGGGCAGGCTACGGGAGGGTGCAGGTGCACGGGAGGGTATAAAGATGATTAAGATGTTTTGTATGAAATACACAAAAACTCAATAAAAATATACCAAAAAATCTACTCTCCAGTTAATCCACATTTGGCCTATTCTCAGTATTGGCAGTTACAAAGGAAGCTGCTACAACTTTCATGTATAAGTTTGTCTTTGGACATTTGCCTTCATTTTCTTGGCAAATACCTTTGAGGAGAGTTTCAGGGTCACATGGTTAAGTATATGCTTAGCTTTATTGAAAGAGCCACACTATTTTCCGAAGTCATTTTGCCGTTTTTCAATTGCACCAGCAAAGTAAAAGAAATACAGTGTCTTTAATCTTAATCATTTTAATGTTTTGTCAGGGCATCTCTTTGTAGTTTTAATGTGCTTCTCTCTGATGACTAACAGTGACAACATTTGACATGGCATTCCTGTGTTGGTTAGTGGTCCTTCAATCTTTTACCTTTATTTTATCAGACTGTAAGGCTTCCAAGTACTGATTGTAAAAGTTCTTTATGTATTCTGGATACAAGTCTTTTGATGGGTAATATATACTGCAAACATTTTCCTCTAGTCTATAGCTTTTTTTTAAATTTTTTAATGAAGTCTTTTAGTGTTTCCCTATTATGATTAATTCAGAATTATTATGACCTAAGAAATCTTTACCTGTCTCAGTATCACAAAGATTTCTCTTTCGCATTCTTCTGGAAGATTATTAACTTAGCTATTACTTTTATTTATTTGTTTGTTTATGTTTGTGCTTATGTGGTGGATGTGTTTGTACACGCTTATGTGTTACGTGTGCAGGTGTACATCAGAAGGCCAGAGGTCAATGTTGGGAGTCTTCCTTAGTCACTCCCCCCCTTATTTTTTTGTGACTATTTGCCTAGACTGGCTGGCCAGCAAACTCCAGGGATCCTCCTGTTTCTGCATTTAGCACTGGGATTACAGGCACATGTTGCCACTCCCTGCTTTTTATATCAGTTCCAGTGGGGCAGTTAGATGGCTCAATGGGTAAAGGTACCTGCATCAACCCTGGCAACCTGATTTTGGTCCCCAGGATTCGGTCCCCAGGAACCATATAGTAGAAGGAAAGAGCCAACTCCTATAAGTTGACTTCTGACCTCCAGACATGTACCATGGCATGCACACACCCATATACAAGCACACATGCAAATAAATAAATATGTAATAAAATGTATGCAGGTGATAGGGATCTACTCAGGTCCTCATTCTTGCACAGTGTCCTTGTTACTTTCTATTGCTGTGATAAAACACTGACCAAAACCAACTTGGGGAGAAAAAGAGCCCAGGCAGGCACTCAGGGAAGGACTCTAGAGGCAGGAACTGAAGCACAGACCATGGAGGAACGCTGCATACTGGCTTGCTCCTCCTCTCTTATACCACCCAGGGATGGTACATCCATGATGGACTGGGTCCTCCTACATCACTCACAGACATGCCCATAGGCCAATTTGAGAGAGAAAAGTCTCCAACTGAGGTTCCCTCTTCCCAGGTATGTTAAGTTGACAGATGAATCTATTCAGCCCACGTGGAAAGCACTTTACTGACTGGACCATGTCCTAGCTTCCAGTTTGCTGTTTTCTTTCAAATATTTACTTTTTTTCAAGATTTATTTTATTTATGTATTTGTGATGCCAACAGAGACTAAAAGGTAATTTCAGATCTCTTGGAGCACGAGAAACAAATGCTTATCAGCCACTTATGTTAGTGGTAGAAGAGTGAACTCCAGATCTCTTACAGAGCAGGAGGTGTTCCCAACTGCTGAGCCATCTCCAAGCCTATTTATACTCTCTTTGCCATACAGTGTGAGTTTCTTCAGTACCAAGAGAGGAGAATTTGGGTTGATTACAATACAGGATGAAAAACCTAGGGTGATGGGGGCTCAGTTCTGAATCTTGGTTGTAGTACAGATCATATGACCACATACAAAGTTCACAGACGTATATATGTGAAAACAGTAACTTTTATTGTATTAAATTATACTTTAATGAGATTTCAAAAGGAGAAATAATTTAAGATAAGTGACACCCGAACTATTCTTTAACAGTTTTCTCTCAGAGTTCCTGGTACAGTTAATAAATGATTACTGTTTTAATCTAAAGTTATCTAAACCCAAAGTACAAGTCAATTCCCATATTTCCAGGACAGTCACAGAATGTAGCATGTAGAGCAGGTGCACTTTGTTATTATACCCATGGCTCTGACTTTATTTAAAAATGCTTATCTTAATGAATAACCACAGTAAGATTAATGCTACTTGCCTTCAATTAATACCTGATAAAACTTCTGACTAATGGGCTGGAGAGATGCTCAGTGGTTAAGAGCACAGGCTGCTCTTGCAGAGGACCTGGGCACCCACATGGCAGCTAACAACCGCCTATAATTCCAGTTCCAGGGAAATCCAACACCTTCTTCTGACCTCCATAGGCATTGCATGACATGGGTGCACTTACATTCATGTAGGCAATACACTCATACACATAAAAGTAAAAACTTCTGACTACTAGAAATTTTAATAAATTCTGTAATACAACCCTTTTAAGTCAATCTAACGTGATGAGCCAGGTAGAAAACAATGGCCTCTACAAGCTACTTACCACTTTAGCTTCTTACCTGTGTATCTGGACTTAAAGGAATCAATATAGGAAACAGCATCAATTTCTTTAATGCCCATCTGCTCTCCTAAAGATTTAGCTCCCATTCCATATATAATTCCATAGCAAATCTGAAAGGGAGGCATAACAGCAATTAAATTAAAGGTCTTAACTACATAAAATATAAATACAGAGCCCAATGAGATTAACATTGGTTAAACTTTTTAATTCATAATGAACCAAAGAAATAATTAGATAATCTTTACTGGATTGGTCCCACTGTAGCTGATACCCAGGAAACATCCATTCTACAATTGAGCATTGCTTTTTATGTGTGTGGGGGAAATGAAAGAATTTGAATAGGAGTGGGGCAGTTAAAAAAGAAAAAAAAAACAGTCTAAAAAGAAAGACTGATTTCTAGTTATTATTTATCCATCAGCCTGGTTTTATTCCTCAGGGCACCTCAGTAGTTTCTGCTTAAGTGCCTAGAAGTCTGAGAAGAAAGTTTTGCAAATATTTCTCTCCTCAGCCACGTAAAACTTAAAGAGCAAATTGTTGGAAAACAGGGGGATCTTCACTGGAAAGAAATGTCAGCTGCCTACAATCCCACAAATGCATCTGGATTAAGTATAAAGAAAATGCCAAAAATTCTGGAAGCAGTGGAGAGAAATGGTCTACATAGGCCAGGAACAAAACTCCAATTTAATAGTAAGTTCAGCCTAGGATCAAACCTAGTACTACCACTCATAAGATGCATGACCTTACCATAGCCATCTGACCTCTCTGTAGCCTAAGGTTTTCATCCAAAGAGTAAAGACATTGATATCCATATCATGAGATTATTAAAAGGTAGTATTTACATAACTATTAAATATAAAAAAAATAACTTGCATTAAATGATTGTCAGAATTCTAAAAACTTTTAACGTGCTAAGCTAGGTAAAAGAACCTTATCCTCCTTTCTTAAATATTTTGATAGGTTTAGTTTTAGTTGTTGTTTTTGTTTGTTTAAAGACCAGGTTTCACTATGTAGCCCAGGCTGACCTAGAATTTGCTATGTAGACCAGGCTAGACTCAAATTCATAGAGCTCCACCTGTCTCTGCCTCCCAAGTACTGGGATTAAAGGTGGGTGCCACCATACTTAGGCAAAACCTTTTTTTTAAAAAAAAAGCTTTTAAAAAATTATTTTTGGTTTGTTTTTAACATTTCATTTTGTTGTGATTCCTAGTGTTTTCTGTTTGTTTTTAGCTTATGTTACTTTGTGTCCTCTGAGATCTAAGCAAGACTCAGGGATTGGATGTTTCTGTACAATAGTGAAGCAGGAAAAAAATGTTCTAGCACATTCACTGTTAAAGTCAGACAAAAGCTGATGTGTGCATGTGGTGAAAACACCAAGCACTGAAGCATGAATTAGCCCCCTTGTGTTGCAAACAACAGCTGGAATTGGACTGATAACATGTTTGTAGTTGTGTGTGTTTTCTAAGTCAACAGAGGTACTAAGGGGAAAATTCCTCCGAAAAGACAAGTTCTTCTTTTCCCATGTGATGCTGGATATACTGTTTCAGTAACAAGAGAGCAAGTTCTTCTGTTCAGGAGAATAGCTCCCTGAGAAATCTGAAGGAACAAGTTCTCAAAATAGACTGGGTCTACTCTTGGTTTAAATGGATGCTAAGAGTCAGGCTGTTTATGTTCAGGTATCAGCATAATGGAGTACTACATAGCCACAGAGAGGAAGTGCTTCAGGCCAGCAAGTCAGCTACGTCTGAGAAGAAAGTGACTTCAGAGCAGGTCTCTGAAAAAATGTCATCTGATTTCCCACAGGGCACATGGATAGGAAGTGTTGATGTTAATATAGAAAATGATAGCATTGACTTTGACCTTCTTTGTGCCTAATGGCTATACATTTCAAAAGTGCTAAAACAGCTGCTGAACAGCTCAAAAACCTAAAAAACTATCCACTATTCATTATAATCCAATATTAAGTTTTTCAAGAAAAGTTCAGAGAATAATTTCTACACAATATACTTTGGCTGAATGTTATAAGAAAATATACAAATGAAAATGTGGAACTCTGTGTCAAGACATTTACTATGAAGAGATTTAAAATATACACTCTTCTCAGTGTATAATGATCACCCACCATCATGTCACTTTGCAAATATACAACTATTGAGAACCAGGCACTGTGACTAGCCGTATTATAGATCTAACTACACAGGGCTTTCCTGACATCAAGTGGCCTCAGATCTTAGTTTATCTGGTTCTTTCTACTGTCTATAAACAATAGATATCATGAGACAGATTCTAATGAATGTGGTTTGGAAGATCCAAAGACAATTTCTGTTCCTGAACTAAAATGAGTAATTGAAATGCTATGAATCACTTATTCTTCTCATTTACATGAAGCATGAATACTAAGTTCACCTGCTTTGCTTGTTGCCTCAGATCATCCCCAACAGACTCAGGCTCAATCATCTTCCACTCTGCTGCAATGCTCCTGAAAACATCAGCTCCAGTGTTTAAGACGTGAATGAGGCGATGATCCTGAGATAAGTGAGCCAAGATCCTCAGTTCCAGCTGAGAGTAATCAGCAGCTAATATTAAGCCACCTGAAAAGCACAACTACTTTTTAAAATCAGTACAGTTCTTTACAATATAATTCAGCTTCTTTACAATTGAGCAAGAAGACAGAACCTTGAGATGAGTGTTCAAAACTTAAAACCTTGCTTCAAACACGACACAATTCAGCTCTGTATATTATCAATTTTTATATTTTCACTTATATATAACACATATCAAGCTAACCCTGCCATCTGTTCCCTACTAAAGTGGACGGCCTTCCTCAGTGTTCCCACAGTACTTAGCACACAATCTGAAATGGTTCGCTCATGCTTCTCCCATGGGGTATCATGTCCTTAGGGATGAAAGACTTAAATTTCCTCTTGTTCTACAGAAACCTTCATAGAATAGACCCTTAAGAAATGATTGTTGAATGTATAAATAGATAAATTGGTGTTTAAGTGCATGTTAACTGTGCTTTTCTTTGGCAACAGCAAAGATATTCAATAAAATTAAAGTGGACAGTAGGAAGTTACTAAGGGGAGTAAGACAAGTTCTCTACAGATCAGAATAAGTGGATTATATATTCATGACAAAATCAAAATTACAAAAACACAAAGTATGACCAAAACAGGAAAAATATTTCAACTGATATCACAAAGGACACACTGCCATATTATAAATTATATCTTTCTCATATCATATCTTTCTCATTTCAGTTAATCCCTAGCCATCACACTCACCAAACAAACACAGATCACAGCACAAACTGTCCCACACGATTAAACTGGCTCACAGTCCCATTTCTTTCTTTTCTTTCTTTTTTTAAATTTTTTTAAAGATTTATTTATTTATCTATTCAGTTTTGAGATAGGGTCTATGCAGCCCAGGCTGGCCTTGAATTCACAGAGATCTGCATGCCTCTGCCTCCCTGAGTGCTGTGTTAGGATTAAAGGCTTGAATCACCATGCCTGGCTAAGTCCCATTTTTTTCCATAATAAAGTAAGTTTTAATATGAAAGTGTTAGATGAAATGCCCAAATGAACAAGTATATACAGAATGTTAATTCTTATATAAAAGTAGAGAAAAATTACATAGCCATAGCTGCTTATTTTTACCAAAGGAATACTGGAAAATCTATACGAAATCCATGTTGTAGTTACCTAAATGAAAAACCTTTTTCAGAAATTAAGCAGTAGACTTAACTATCACTGACAAAGAAGGTCATGAGGGAGGCACAACTACTGGGTTTCTGAGCATAAGTACTGCCCAGAGAACACTGCAGGACAGAAGCATTCTCTCTGAACAGAGGAAACCAAGAGTTTGGGCCTACCAGACAGCCAAAATTGATAAAAATTTAGAGAAAGAAGTCAAGATTAATGAGCACCAGAAGCACACAGAGGAATCCCTTTGCATCTGATGTGGACCAATGTAGTTCAATAACTACGTTTTTCCCTCAAAGCTATTTCTTCTAAAAAAGATTAAATAACTTTGTCAATGTAGATGAAAGTAAGTTTTTAAGTGATTTTGGTATTCAATTCAGTTACATAAAATTTAAAATATGTTTGAAAAACTTTTGTGAGTAGTCTACTTTTTCAACTAAATTTTTAAAATCTAAATGAAGATTAAGCATCTGGAACATCTGCTGGAATTCTTATTAGGCCTGACTTCCTTCAGAGATCTTGGTGTTGCAAACCAGAGAAAAAGCACATCCCTATGTAAATAAAGACCTCAGGCACTTCTGCATGTATGTCTCCTGGACTAAAAGTGCACACACTCTCCTGTGGCACCAAATCCTTTACTTTTAAAGAAAAGCACTTTTTGCTCTGTATGATTTGGCAAAAAACTTTCAAATATTGGAACCAGAGGAAATTTCAAATTATGAGCACGCCTCATACTAAATTCCTATTGAGCAGCATGGTTTTTAAATCCAGCCATGCCCTTTTCTATTGCCAAAAGAGAAACCAGGATTGCAGATCTTCATTGAGAAACCACCATACACCATGGAGACCTGAGGATCCCTTGGGTAAGACTGAACTTTCTATGTTGATAGTTGATGCTTAAAAAGCAAAACTGAAAGTTGCCAATCAAGTTACTTTATCAGATCTTGAGCTTGTCTTAGGAATGTAAATTTCTGATAAATTTTAAAGTAAATTCAGCTGGTTCAGCAGCTTACCTGGATTTGCCCACTGGCATAAGATAAAGAGCAATTTAGGAGTTAGATCCCAAATTCCAGACATTTTGGTGACAAACAGGTGTATGACCAGACTGAGGAGGTCCCCAAAACACCTGGCAGACACCCATGCAATAAGATGCAAACAAAGGAGTGAACAGAAAACAAGAAACACAGGATCAAATAAGCTGAAAGAGAGACTCAAAACTCTGTTCTTCTAGGTCAAAGGAGGAAAGTGGGGAAGGAAAGCCTTCATTAACACCAGAGAGAAGCAAAAGCAAATGAGAACTGACCAAATCTACAGAATTTTGCAAAGGTTTACAAAGGCCTTAAGAAAAACATGGTCATAGGTGATAGTGGCTCTGAGATACACACAGAGGTTTCACGGAGAGCAGATCATGATGACAATGGTGAATAACTGCCAGGAACCTGGCAAAGCAGAGGTAAGACAGGCTGCCCCACGGGAAGGATGCAGGGCACCACGCAGGTCTATGAGTCCTACTCATAACAGCCTTTCCAGGCCTTGAAAACAAACATCCCCACAGCAATGAGGCGCTCACCTTACCTGGGAAAGGCACAAAGGCATGGCGCATGCTCACTGAGAACGGCATCCCTCTGCGTGAGGCCTTCTCCATCAGTGCCTGGTGCCCAGGGTGCAGGCCACAGCCCTTCTTCTTTAGTCCTCTGTAGTACAAAAACAATCATCCACTGGGCACAAGGTCTCTCAGATATATGAGGTCTGATTTCCCATAAAAATAGTATTTCCAACCAAGAAACTTAAAGACAACCCACCTGAAATTCACTTTAAACTTTAAGGTGTTAGACCCTCACAGCAAGCAAGCACTCAATAAAACATTGTGCTTGTAATCCCCTTTCCACAACTGCTTGAGACAATCAATGCCCGGCCATTTAGCTCCACAAATCTCCATGGCCATACCTAATGTAATTATCTGTGCTGTGTCCTCTTATTGTGTACATTAAGAGCGGGCAAGAGGGGTAGTCCCTGGCAGGGCTAGCTGCTTCCCTGTGTCATTAAACTTGAAGAAGCACACAGGGCTAGAGACAACTAGTAGCCCCAGTCTGCAGCCTTTCACCATCAACCTGCCTCTCTATAGACACTGGGATTTAAAATGGAGAATGCCTAGAACAAAAATGGGTATGTCTAGAATATAAAAGTAAACTCATTTCATTGTTTTGTACAATAGGCTTTTCTTTTTTTTTTTTTTTTGGTCTTTTTGAGACAGGGTCTCCCTGTAGCCCCAGTTGGTCTGGAACTCACTATATAGACCAGGCTGGCCTTGAACTCACAGAGATCCGCCTGCCTCTGCCTCCCAGAGTGCTGGGATTAAAGGTGTGTGCCACCACACCCGGCTACAATAGGCTCTTTTTGAATCAGTCATGTACACAAAAGTTACAATGCAGAGAAATAGTCTACCTGCCCATTGGAAGCAGGCCTTTGCCTATGGCTTGGGAAGGTGGGCTTTCCTCTATTAGTGTTGGCATTTTAATTTCAAAATCTCTTGGCACATTCTGGATGTTTGGTTCTGTAAACGTTATCCGTCCTAAAATCGAACATAATAAAAACAAAAAATTAGAAAAACAAACCTGACATTTGACATATTTTGCACCTCTGAAATATCATTTTAAAATGTGTGCTTAAGGCTAGTAAGATGGCTCAGTGGGTAAGAGTACTTGCTCCCAAGCCTGATGACCAGAATTCCTCTGGAAACCATGTGGTGGAAGGAGAACCGATTCCATTATGTTCTCCTCTGACCTGCACCAACTCTGGAATTAAAAAACAATTTAGTGTGCTTTATCAATGCTAAACTAAATTTATGCTTAAATTTTTTCATCATGTTCATACGATGAATAAATGAAGGAACAAATGAATAAAGTAATAAAATAAGCACGCGATCATTCCAAAATCAATCACCTATAATACCATGTCTTCATTACCCCAGTTTTCTAGAAAGCAATTCATGACAAGAAGCAACCTGAAGCAACTCCTGCCACAAAACGAATACCAGTATCCACGTGATGGCAGGGTGGTAACAGACCTCAGGATACTGCTGCTGGAACCTGTAAAGCAGGGGGCGGGGGGGGGGGGGGGGAACCAGACAGGACCACCAGGAACAGAGCAGCTGAACACTGAGGAGGATAACTGGAACCAAAGAAGCAAGCCATTCCAGTGAGCTGGCCACAGGACCTCACTCAGACTTCACCTGGCTGCCTTTTGTCCTCAACACTAGCATTCAAGATAATCAACAACACTGATTGGCTGGAATTAAAATCAGACATATGATCAATTTTCCAGTAAATAGAAAACTATTTTTAAAATTCTGATGCTTTTGTTTCTCTCATAATATTTTACATTTTTTAAATTTCTTTGAAACATATTAGCATATTTCTCTCTTTAATTTTCTTATTGAATTTTTGTGTAGTTCATACAGAACATCTCAATAAATTTTAATCCTCTTTATACCCCATCCCCACTGGCACCCTCCCATAGCACCCCCACCAGAATTCATACAGTCTGTCATTTGTGTTAAGGCCTATTGTGTCAGTCAGTGTCCACAGACATTCTGTGGTACTGTAAACATATGGGCATTTTGCAAAACCTCACTTTGGGCAACTGCTCTGCCAGTTCTCTGCTTTATGATCCAGCCTTCACTATAGCAGGCGCTCTACCACCTACTTCACGTAATCTCACCATCCAATGAACCAAACATTTAAAAAAGCATCTACATTATCTTTCTAAATAAACTCATGATTTGATATCCTTGTTATTTAGCATTTAGCACAAAATAAGTGTTCAACTAATGGTGTATTTTTTTTAATTTTTAAAAAAATTATTTATTTAATAACCACATGATTAGAAGAAGCCTTTCATTACAGCATTAACATATTCGATAAAAATTTCCAGAGCAAAGATGCATCTCTTTCAATATGCACTGTAAATTTTTAAGTTCACAGTTGAATTAATACAGTTATACGATACAGAACTCAGTATAAACCCTAAAAGACATAAAACTAAATGAAGTTTTAACCTTTAAAAAAGATTTCCATTTCATTTTAAAATATAGTTTCATACAACAAAACTCATTTTAATGCTACTAACACTTAGATGTTTGCACATGCATCTCTAATCTCTATCTGATTATTACTAGTCACAGTCGGTTACTTTCTGAGATCCACCTGAGCATGGATATAAAATCATAGGGTAGATTTCAGTGGTAATGTGTTTCACCTCTAGTAATTAAAATGGAGCAAATTTTTATGTTTCTTCCTCAAATAAACTTTTTTCTTCCATTTGTTGATTTTTCGTGTGTATTTCATACAGAACATCCCAAACAATCTTATTCATCTATATATTCACATCCCAAATGGTACCCTTCCATAGCTTCTCCCCACCCCACTGGAGCTCATATACTCTGTCATCCCTGCTACTGTCCACTGTGTTGTCAGCGCCCCCAGCCGTTCCCCAGTGCTTGTCCATCTGCTGAATCTAGTCAGCCTATCTAGGATTCCTTGTTTTAGGAAGATCAGCTCTTCCTCATCTAGCAGAAATCAGTTGCCAATATTCCTTTGGATAAGATTGGGGTCTGCTGTTCATTTTCCCAGTTCTATGCTGGGTTACTGTCTGGGAGTCCCTTGGGCCACCCTGGCCAACAACTCGAAGGAAGGTATCTCCTGTCTGGCATTGTTGCTTGTTATGTAGCTTTTAGCTATACATATGGACTCTTAAAAATTATATTGATCCCTTTAATCTTTGGTTATACTTTCCTTTTGGGTGTTCAAGACCATACAGTAGGTCCAGATAATCCAATTTATTTTTACTCTTCAGGTCATGTGAGGATCTGTTCCTCAGGGGTCACATGGGCTTGAGAGGAGCCGCTGGCTCCTTTCTTTTACCAGTTCCAACTATGGGAAGATAAGTTAAAGGTCCTGGTTGACCGTGGCTGGCTTCACTTGGAAGCATGGAGGAAATGTTTCCTGTGTTGACCCTCCTCCTTGTAAACTAGACACTGGTTCAAGTCCATTTCATGAGGTATCCATGGCCTCCCTGATCAAGAGGACAGGTGAGTTACCAAGTTACAGGACATTTTGAGAGATGCTCATAATCTCCTGGAACTTTGTCGACCTAGGAGGGCAAGGAGCAAAAACTGTCCTTTATGTCCCTCTGACCAAATTAGTATAGGCCTCAAAGTATGGCTGTTAGACATCCAAGAAGGTTAGTTCCACCAGTCTGGTACTTTTAATTACATATGCTATGTAGATAAAGCTTGGGCAAAGAGCAAACATTCTCAGATAAACCTCACCTAGACATGTATTATATTCCCTGATCTAGTTGTATGTATAATTTGTTCAGTGGGTTGTTTGATTAATATGGATCCCTCTGGTTTTTTAAAACTAGCTAGACATTATTTATCTCTCGCATAGTCTAAACCTTCAACCATGGTTCCCCCATTTAAAGTGCCCCAATTTTTCCCATTTCTCCCTTAATAATACCCTTTCTCCTGGTCCTACCTCTCTTGAGCTCCTTCTTTCCCTTTATTCCCAAGGTTTCTTGAATAACTCTCCCTCCCCACTCCCCTTAAAATAACCCCATTTTTATCCCTATCTCCTTTATTAATGCCTGTTTTCTACTGTTCTTCTCTTTCATATTCTTTCTTTTGCTTTACCTCCCTGGTTTTCTTCATTATCCTGGTTCCTGTAGTGTGGAAACATACTCACTCATAAGGATTTGGTGCTAGGATCCACATATGAGGGAGAACATACGTCTTTTCTGAGTCTGTGTTTATTCACTCAGTATAACAGTTTCAAGTTCCATCCATATACCTGCAAATTTCATGATTTCATCTTTCTTTACTGCCATCATATAAATGAACCAGGTTCATTATCCACTCATCACCTGAGGGACACTTAGGTTGCTTCCATCTCTTAGCTATTGTGAAAAGAGCAGCAACAAAAATGGATGTACAAGGGTCTCTGCAATAGGATGCGTTCTTTGGTATATGCTAAGGAGTGGTATAACTGGGTCAAATGGTAGGTTCATTTGTAGTTTTTAAAGAGTTCTCCCCACTGTTTTCCATAGGGGTTGAACAAGTTTGCAATCCCACCAGAAGTGGATGAGTGTTCCCCTTTCCCCACATCCTCTCCAACATTTGGTATCATTTTTTTTTTTCTTGATCTTAGCCAGTCTGACTGGGGTAAGATGAAATCTTAAAGTGGTTTTAATTTGCATTTCCCTAATTACTGATGATGCTGAACACCTTTGTAGATGCTTCTTAGCCATCTTTATTTCTTTTGAGAACTGTCTGTTTCAGTGCTTTACCCATCTTTTAATTGGGTTACTTCCTTTCTTGATTCTGTGTTTTTTGAGTTCGTTATACAGTCTGGATGTTAAACCCACAGTCAGATTTGTTGCTGAAGATTTTCTGCCATTCTGTGGGTTTTCTCTTCACTTCCTTGGTTTCTTCTTCTGATGTACAGAAGCATTTTAGTGTAATAAGGTCCCATTTGTTGATTCTTGCCCTTGTTTCCTGAGCAATTGATGTCTGGTTTAGAAAATTATTTCCTACACCTATATCTTGTAGGTTATTGCCAATGTTTTCTTCTAACAATTTAACAGTTTCAGAGTTTCAGGCTTCACATTGAGGTCTTTCATCCATTTGGAGCTGACTTTTGTGCAAGGTGAAATATAGGGGATTAGTTTCATTATTCTACAAATGGAGATCAGGTTTTGCCAGCACCACTTGCTGAACATGCTGTCTTTCCTCCAGTGAATGTTCTTGGCCCCTTCATCAAATATCAGGCGGCTGAAATTGCATGTACTCATATTTGGGCCTTCAATTTTGTTCCATTGATCTATGGGTCAGTTTTTGTGCCAGTACCTTGTTGTTTTTATGACTATAGCTCTGTAATACAGTTTAAATTCTGATATAGTAATCCCACCCCCCCAGCATTGCTCTTAGTGCTCAGGTTTGCTTTGGCTATCGAGGTCTTTTGTGCTTCCATATGCATCTTAGGATGGTTTTTTCCAACTCTGTGAAGAATGTCATGGGGATTTTCATTGACATTGCATTGAATCCAAGAATAGCTTTTGGTAGGATGGTCATTTTCACAATATTAGTTCTTCCATTCCATGAGCATGGGAGGTCCTTCCATCTTCTGATGTCTTCCTCAATCTCTTTCTTTAAAAATTTGAAATTTTCATTGTAGAGATCTTTAATGTCTTTGGTCAGGTTTATTCTGAGATTTTTTTTTTTTACAGCTATTGTGAAAGGGAGTGTTTCCATGTACTCTTTTTCTGATTGTTTGTTATTAGTATATAGAAAGGCTACAGATTTTGTAGATTTAATTTTGTAACCTGCCACTTTACTGAACGTGTTAATAATTTCTTGGAGTTTCTGGTGGAAATTTTGGCATCTCTTAAATATCATACCATCTGCAAAAAGGGATAATTTGATCTCTTCTTTTCCAATTACTACTCCTTTAATTTCCTGTTCTTGTCTTATTGCTCTTGCAAGAGTTTCAAGCACTATGGTAAAGAGAAGTTGAG